CTTGCCGCACTACATGTGTACTATGAGGCCACAGCTACTACCTGTGTACTACCAAGTTGCCTGTCCTGAGGCCACAGCTACCAGGAGCTGCTTCCCACATTACATTTGTGCTACAAGTTGCCACTTCTGAGCCACACTCCTGTCGGACATTCTTGTGAGACACTCTTGCGGGACACTCTTGTGGGACACTCTTGTCACTCTTGTGGGACACTCTTGTATGACACCAACTCTTGTGGGTAACTCTTGCGGAACACTCTTGTGGGACACTTTTGCGAAGCACTCCTGTAGGACTCTCTTGTGGGACGGGGCACTCTTGTGCTGAACACTCTTGTAGGAGCGGGACGCCCTTGTAGGAAATTCTTGCGAACACTCTTGTGGAGCACCTTCTTGTAGGAAACTCTTGTAGGACGCTCTTGTCGGACACTCTTATGGAACAGTCTAGTCTTGTGTGACACCCTTTCAGGACACACTCTCTTGTAGCTACAAGGGCACTCTTGTCGAACACTCTTGCGGGACATTCTTGTGGTAGACTCTTGCGGGGCACTCTTGTGTGACATTCATTCTTGTAGGATACTCCTGTCGAACGCTCTTGCGGGACACTATTGTGGTAGACTCTTGCGGGACACTCTTGTGGTAGACTCCAAAACTCAACCGACGTCTCCAAAACTAGCGTTTCGCGCAAGACTTGCTCCAAAAGTCACGCGTGAAGGCTGCGAAGCGAGCATTTCGTACCAGAGAGACTTCTTCCAAACTTCGCTCGTCAAGTCTTTAAAACGAGCGTTTCGCACAAGTCTTCCTCAAAAACTCACACTTCGAGCGTTTCGTACGAGACACCCCCCAAAATTCAATCGTCCAGTCTGCAAAACGAGCGTTTCGTACGAGACTTCCTCCAAAAGTCACATGTCAAAGTCTCCAAAGAGAGCATTTCGTACGAGACTTCCTCCAACAGTCAAGCGCGGGGAGCCCCATCGGAGCACACTGCCAGCCACCAAAATGGCCGTTTTAACTGAGTCACGAAAACACAGCTTCGGAGCACAACAGCTTGAAAAGCAAATCAGCAAATCCCAACGTCGCAGCCACATCCAACACCCCCAAAACACCGCCATCCAAGACAACTGCGCATCTCACAAGACGCTGTTCCTCTTACGTTTCCACACGTTTCCTCGCTATTTCACACGAATGTGAAGCGTCATGCTTTCATCCAAGCCTTCTCCAAATGCTTCGCCCAATGTCAGCGGCGGAAACGCTCTACTGCGGACGGTTGCGAACGGTTGCGAACGCTACGACAACGAGTCGCGGACAAGACTACCCCCAGACCCCCCACAGTTAAACTCTTCGCTGCGCGCTCGAGAAAAAACGCCCTGCACCGACTTATACGAGCCTTCTGTGTAAAAAGGTTTGCGCCAGTTTGCCTTTCGTAAGAGTTGGATTATGTGGAATACTTGTCAAGGTTGTTCGTGATGACCTTGAATGAAAACCAGTTATACTAATCATTGATCGTGATGTGTTGCATATTGCAAATCGCGTTATGTTTCTATGTGGCTTTCATACTTGCGACAATATTTGTAAACACTAAAGCCTCCTTACAATTTTCGGTGTACCAAGGATATGGCGGCAAGGCCCTAGACTTTGACAGCAGCGCTGTGCAGGTCTTTGTGCATGATTGGGGGGAGATGTCAAGGAGAGCTACAGTTAAAACATGTTAAAGCCGTGATTTTTGATTTTAAATCCCAGACCTAGGTAATTGAGGAGCAAACTTGTCGAAAGTAGTCTTGATAGTTGCCGCATCAGCTGTAGTAGGAGTAGTAGCAGTAGTAATAATAGTGACAAAAATATTATATATATGCATTTGACAAGTGAAAGTAGTAGTAATGGTGGAAGTGGTAGTAGTCGTAGTGATAATGGTGGCGGCAGTGGCAGTGGAAGCGGAAGTAGTAATAGTAGCAGTAGTACTAGTAGTAGTCGTCGTCGTCGTCGTTGTCGTGGTGGTAGTGGTAGTGGTAAGGGTATAGTGGTAGTAGGAATATTAATATTGTAGTTAGGGGCACTTAATCACTAGACAGTTCACGTAACAACGCGCATTCTCGGACATGTAGCATTTGAAAGCCAAGAGTCTTTGAACTGAAATTGTCGTGTTTTCCACAGGCCTACATCAGTAGCTGCATTGTGCACAAAGGCATGCCGGCTCATGATTTAACAACACATCAACATCAACGTAATGACGTTCCAGAAGATATGCAACGCCCCAACTTTCCCAAAGTGCATCCACCATATTGGTGTTTGCAATGCTTGGATCTGCAACTGTGTAAGAAACTCTTTGCACCTGTTCGTTGTGTTTCTTCAATGGACAAAAGAAGGCTTTGTTTTTTAGTGCACATGTCGACTAGAGCGACTAGACAGTTGTCCCAGATATACGTGTTTCAGAAGAAATATCTTAATTCCTTTTAGATCAACAGTGGTTGGGGGGTGTTGCACCCTTTTGTTTTTTTCCCCACCTGCCAGGTGAGGGTTGTTAGATTTTATCACAGTTGTTCTTCCTCCGCCTCCGCCGCCTCCTCGTCCTCCTCCTTCCTCCTTGCTTCCTTCCTCGCCAATCTTCATCGCCAATCTGCTTCGCTGATCTTGTCTGGCCAGCTCCGGATCGCAGTGTGCACCCCTGGACCTCAACCGCAAGGATCCCCTCGCAGTGTGCACCCCTGGACCTCAACCGCAAGGATCCGATCGCAGTGTGCATCCCTGGACCTCAACCGCAAGGATCCGATCGCAGTGTGCACGCCTGGACCTCAACCGCAAGGATCCGATCGCAGTGTGCACCGCTGGACCTCAACCGCAAGGATCCGATCGCAGTGTGCACGGCTGGACCTCAACCGCAGGGATCCGATCGCAGTGTGCGCCGCTGGACCTCAACCCAGATAGTTTGCTAGATAAAATCCACAAACACACAATCACAAACACACGACCACATACGCGCAACCACAAACACACAACCACTACCCACAATCACAAACACAATCAATCACAAACACAACCACAAAGACACAATCACAAACACATAACCACAACCACAAGTACAAACACACAACCACAACCACACAACCACAAACACACAAACACAATCACAAACACAATCACAAATACAATCACAAACACGCAACTAGAAACACAATCACAAACACACAACTACAAACACAACTACAAAGACACAATCACAAACACACAACCACAAACATACACACAACACACAAACACACACAAACACACACACAAACACACAACCACAAACACACAACCACAAACACACAAACACAAACACACAACCACAAACACAACCACAAACACAACCACAAACACATCCACAAACACAACCACAAACACATCCACAAACACAACCACAACCACACAACCACAACCACAAGTACAAACACACAATCACAAAGACACAACCACAACCACAACCACAACTACAAACACACAATCACAAAGACACAACC